ATAAAATCACTGAGAAGTGTCAAGCTGATGAAATCCTTGAGTAGATTTGCAGAGCATTATAAAAATTATGTGAAAATTGTGTCATTAATCCCTTCAATGGACAACTTGCCTACATTAATTTCAACTCAACCTAACCACCTGTAGCTAACTAAAATCTTCCTACAGGTTTAAATTGCATTTGAATCTTATACATTTGTACTCCTACAAGTTAACCAAGAATTTATTAGTGTCTCCCAGCTCCTGCCACCAAATGTTTAGATTAATAAACAGACATTTTATGTGAGTTTATATTTCACTATAATTTAACTGTAAGTTAACTTGTCATAAAAATTTTTATTAACAGATGGACACGTTAATATTTAAAATAGGGTTTTTTCTTTTTTAATGCAGTTGATTTACATTAAGATGCAATTTCTACTTATCAAATATGTTTATAAAATGTAACTATAAGTTAAGGAAATAACAAAGATAACAAAAAAGTGACAAGGGTAAATTATCCTGAGGTGAATTTTTATATCTCAATATAAAACAAGGTCTCTGGTACTGTAGTTGTTCACTGATTGTTATACTAATATATATAATTTAGTAATAATTGTTCCTAGACTTAATGTCTGTTACTTGATAATTGTTACTGCTCAAGTATAGGAAAGATTGTGAGGATGGCGCACGACCAGGCAATGTTTTGTTCTTTTGTACAGTGTCACTATGAGTCGGAGCTGACTGGATTGCAACTAACAACAACAACAACGAGAGTAATTGTTACTACTGGAATTGATAACAAACAAACAAACAAAAAACAGGCTGACTCAAAGGAAAAAAACAAATAAAACTTGAAATAAGCCCAGGCATTTGTAAGGCAGAATCCAATTCATGCCAAGGTCCATAGAAAGCAATGTAACTGCAAATATTTCAGTAGTTAGAATTACCAACCATTTGCTGTTAAGTAGATTCTGACTCAGGGAGATCCCATGTGTGTTGGAGTAGAACTTTGCCCCAGGGGGTTTTCTTTTCTTTTTTTTTTTTTTTTAATTCATGCACATTTGATTGATGCACATTGTTCGTACACATTTGATTTCATGGCCCCCATGACCATCCCCCAGGTGGTTTTCAATGGCTAATTATTTAGAAGTATATCAGCAAGGCTTTCTTCTGAGGTATGTCTGGGTGGATTTGAACCTCCAACCTTTCAGGTAGAAGTAGAGCATGGTAACTGTACCCAGGGACTCCATCCTCTGGCTGTTCTTCTGATGGCACTTCTCTCTCTGGCAGAGATAGAGGCCATCATCTTGACAGAAGTCTATCCCAATGGCTCTTGTAGAAGTAAATTTGTAATTATTTTAGTATAGCTTGACTTTTGTGAATGAGCTCTGCAGGAAAATCAAATCTTACTGTTCTCTGTGGCACACATACTTGCAAGTCATTTCTTACTTCTGAGATCGCTATGGAGGATAGTGATCTGAAGACCAAAGATGAATCATAAAAGATTTCTTTCATTCATCTTACTGTGCATTTCTGTATCTATTTAAAAGTTAACTTGTGACCCTTAGTAATATTCCACCCTCAGTCACGCACATAGCTTCCTTTTAAGACAGTTACTGTCACTTATGTTCACCTCAGAGGAGATTTTGACTCTTTACGGTGGACAAATAAAGGGAATCCCAGAAGTATCAGGTTAGTTTTAATCTTCTGTATGTGGAGTAAATGTGTGTCTGCTACTGTGTGCACCTAGGGTATGTCTATTTAATAAATTGGTTATAAATTATCAGATAACATCTTACCCAGAGTTTAACAGGGGAGCTTTTCTGTGGTAAATTCAAGCAAAGTTACTTGAAAAATGCTTGGGAGATTATTATCTCTTTATATTTGTCATGAAAGTTCTAGCGGTAACTTTGGACTATTTAAGCAAATGACAAGTAATATTATTATTCTTTAGATATTTACTCTTACTAAATTTAGTTTGTTTTTCTAACTTTGGATGTAAACAGCAAGGCATCACTGTATTTGGACTGTATTCCAGACTAATTTTCTGGAAATTCTTGGCAACAGGTGTGTTAATATGTTTTATAAAAAAATAAAAGCAAACTCATTTCTCTCTAGTTGATTCCAATCCATGGTATTCTATAATGACAGCCATTAAATTACCACAAAGTAGCTTTCAGAGTTGTTTAATGTAGATATGGAAAGTCTTAAAAATTTGTTAATATATGTCTGTCTCTCTATATATCTGTAACTACATATATATAAATAGAAATTATTGATATTAAAAACCAATAAAATTTGCCTTAATTTTTTTCAAAAGATGCAAAATGAGACTTAACTAAATAGTTGATAATAAAACCTTTAATGCTATTATATTTTAAATTATATTTCACACCAGAGGAATATATGACATATCAACTTGGTCAAGTTATTAAGTATTTTTCTATCAGAGTTTTACCATCTCTAAAATTACATTGATGTTTCCTTTCACTGTTAGAATATCATGAGTACAAAATATACTAAGACTCTCTTAAAGCATAAAATTACCATATTGATTTTACATATTATAAATCCCCAAAATTTAATTTTTTATTATGTGATTTTAAATATTCCCAGCAAAAACTAAAGGGATAAAATGGTAAAAGAGAAGTAAGATCAACTCTTTACTAAATGAGAATGATTAAGTATCATTTGACATTCTAGTTTGGGAATTTTTAAGCAACATTCAGCAACTAATGGTAGAAATTCAACTGCTTTAAGTAGTGACTTTTCTACTTATATCAATTTATATTTATTAGTCTTACAATATCATTAAGAATTTCATAGACATAGATATTACTAACTTAAAGTATAAAAACATTAAAACGACTTTCTCAAAGTCTCAAGATTATGGATGACACTAGAACTAACCACTAATCAAAGTGTTATTATTTCCCAACAAATACTTTAGCTGATTTAGCTTTTTTTTTTTTTTTAAGAGTGCGTGTCTCAAAAACAGTAGCTTACATGATTGGTGATAATGCTTTTGTTGATTAGTTTTAAAGCAGTGCATGTCTTCTATCTTCTGAATTTTGTTTTAGTTTTAGCCCCGAGATATCTATTCAATTGTTTTGATTTAGTTTCGAAGTTTTCTAAGAGATATTATTTATGATTTGCACAGTTTTTTACCCCCCCATAACCATAGTAATTTATTAACATGCTGCTAGAGTATTAGTATTAAAATGTTGTTAGATATATTTTATAACACAAAAAAATATTTAGGATAAGGAAATTATATTTTTACTTAATAAAGAATTAAAAGAAATTATCCAATTTATAAACCAAAAGCTATATTTTCAATTTTTAAATAGGTTAGAGGAGCCCTGGTGGCCCGGTGGTTAAGTGGTTGGCTGTTAACCAAAAGGTTAGAGGTTCGAACTCACCAGCTGCTCCATTGGAGAAATATATGGTATTCTGCTTTTGTAAAGATTTACAGCCTTAGAAATTCTATGGAGGCAGTTCTGCTCTGTCCTATAGGGTCGCTGAGTTGGAATCGACTTGACATCAGTGAATTTGGTCTTTTGGAAATAGAATATAATATAAGAAGATGCTCAAAATTTTCTGACTGTGAAATTAATTACATTTCATTACCTAGCTCTGAAAAGATTCTTAGTTTTCTCTTATTTTCTAACCTAGTATTTGGAAGTAAAATGATAATTTAGTTGGGCCAACAGTAGAAGAAAAATAAATCACCCACTTTTTCTTAAATCTAAGGTATTTATAAAAGCAAGTCTGTTAATGCACAGCCTTTTGTGGTTTCTGCTAATTACATATTTTTCACTTCAAAGTGTTTAAGAGAGATATATGTACAAGTCAATATAATAAATATTTATCAGGTAAGTGAATTTAGAAAAGGTCTTTGGGCTTGGACATATATATAGATATAGATATAGATCCATGTATAATCCTAGCGGTATCTGCATTCTAGTTTTCTCTTGGGCCGAATACAGATCATCAGGTTTTCTTACATTACTAGATCACTGCCTGAAATTATAACAGAACAAATGATACTATAGGGGATGTGTAACATTGGCATTCTAATTAAAGTACACAATGCTAATTCCACTTGGGGTGGAGCTAAACCTTTGATGGCCTCTAATTACATTAGTAGTAACATTTTCACTTGAGAAGTAGTTAACTAAATACTTAAAACATGTAATTAAAATGAAGGCATATCCTAATTTATAAAGGCAATGAAAACAGAAGAGCTAAGTAAAACCCCATTAAAATAGTTACCACACTATTATAACAAAATATATTTCAACCAATATATTATAAGGCAAATAAAGGTCAAACCTTGCCTTCTGTTTACTGGTTAACACATTCTAGCATACCCAGTGGTAGAGTAAGTCCCAAGTCATAGTCACAGTAAAAGATGATTTTATTCCCATGAGCTTTTTGCCAGTCCAAAGTATTACCAGATGAAAGACTATTTTGGAAAATGAGAAAGAATCACCATACAAGGCTTTAAAGATTAAGGCCAGCACTTAGTTACTCAGGAACAATTAATTACAGAGCACAGGTAATATCATATATTTTTTTACAGGTATACTTTTTTTGCTACCTGTGTTGATACCACACTTTTCATTCAATAAAAGTGACCAAAATCCTTTAAATATCATTCAATTGACACCCAGTATGAAAAGTGGTGTGGCTCAGGATACCAGGTTCTTGAGAGAGAAAAAAGGCTCGAATGAGTATCAACAGTCATGAAGAAAGCAACTGATCCAAGCAGGAGTCTTCATTAAGAATTCAACCAGATATGAGTTGTATTTTGTCTGGTGAACTGGACTAGCAAAGATCAAATAAGTCCACTAGGCCAAAAGAAAACTGCACATGGGCTAATTATATCCACAAACACAGGGACTTTTGAGTCCTCTCTTTAAAAAATTAACTCTTCCTTATATTTATGACACAGTATGAATCATATCATCAATACTTTTCTTCTTTGTTGCTCACCAAAACTAACTCCCCAGCCCAGCAACAGAGCTTGAAATTTCGTAGCCCCTTTTAGAGTGACACGGATCTCTTCCTTCTTCTGGCAAAATCCTCCGTATGAATGAAGGTGGAGAAAGCCTTAGTAAGGTGACTATCTGACGTCTCAGTGCTGCTCCCGAAGTCATAGTTCTTCAGGCAGGGACAGAAGCAGTACACAATAGCCCGGCGGATATAACTGTCAAAGATATAGTAAATAAAAGGGTTGACACAGCTATTGGTAAATGCCAGGGGTCCACTCACCTCCATGCCCAGCTGCAGAATAGCTGAGGGAACAGGGTGTTCTTGCTGTAATCCAGAGACAATGGCCAGGAGCTTGAAAGTATTAAATGGCAGCCAGGAGCACGTGAAGGCTGTCACTACAATCAAGATGGTCTTTATGGATTTCCTCAGCTTTCTGTTATGCTTTCCCGACTGATGGTAATGGGCACACAATTTCCTTGTAATGCAACAGTAGCAGGTGACAATGCTCAGCAAGGGGACAAAAAAGGTGAAAATTAAGGCCACTAGGGCCCAAGCTAGTTTAATGACAGTGGCTCTCTTTTCGGCACAGTATGGCTTATCATCAATCAGGGTGAGCTCCCTGGACAGAAGAGTAGGCAATCCCAGGAGGCAGGAGATAAACCAGATGCTGGCACAGACTCCATACGCACAGTCTCTTGTCCTGAATTTCCGGGATACTGCTGGGTGCATGATGGCCAGGTAACGGTCAACGCTCATGCAGGTGAGCAAGAAGACACTGCAGTGCATGTTGACTGAGATCATGTAGGAGCTGCCCTTGCACAGGAAAGAGCCCGTCCTCCACAGTCCTGACGATGCTTCTTTATCCACCCAGAGAGGCAGTGTGACAAGGAAAATGAAGTCGGAGGCAGCCAGGTTGATGATAAAGATGTCAATCAGTCTTCGGCTGCCTTGTTTGAAATGCAGCGCCCCCATGAGGATAAGGTTCCCCAAAACTCCAGTCAGAAATACAACTGTATAAAAGATGGGAAGAATGATAGATGTGTAAGGAACATGGGAGGGGGTCTCCTCCTCATCAGGAATTTGACTTGTAGCATAGGCGTAATCCAAATAAGCTGAGGTTCTCTCTGGATCCATTACTAAAGATTGAAGGCCAAATCTGGTCAATTTCCCTACCTATGAGGTTTTTATATGGGTTTTTAAAATCTCAAGGACGATTCTTTTATACAGCACCTCTCTCTCTCTCTCTCTCTCTCTCCCCCTCCCTTTAAAGATCTTGGCACAAACACTAAAACATACATTGAAAAAGTAGTTGCTAGCAATCCTCAGAAAGGGCCCACAAGAAACACCATTCTGTTTGGTATTGGTTGGTTGTGGTTTTCTTTATTTGCATTTACCCATGAAACTGAGGTGTTGTTTTGACTTCTTTCTTCAAAATATTCAATTTGTTTCTTTAAGTCTAGAAATTAGGAAACAAATTGACTTTTTTTTTTTCTTCTTCTTCTCTTACCTATTTTAAAGATACACTTTGTTTTTCTGACACCTAGAACTCCTTTGATCTAGCCTTCTGTTTCACATTTACAGGGCTGTTTTACTTTTAAAACTGTAATGGGACAGTGATGAACATACTCTTTTTTTATCAGTATCTCTGGTGAAAATAAAAAGACAACTTATCTTTCATTGCATAAAGAGTGAACGGAAAGCTTCCTAAAACATACCAGTTCACATATAAGACAAACATGGATTCCAACTAGAGCATGGCATTCTTCTCATTTATTTGGCTCTTTCTGTTCATACACAATTGATCCTGCCTCATTCAATACACTTTTGAAAATCCCTAAAAGATGGAGCTACATCTTGGGCTTTTATTTGTAGTTTTTAGATCTCTCATTACACCAAATATAGCACCTTGCACATAGTAAGTTCTTTGGAAATGTTAGTTTATTGGATTTAATCCATAACACTCTTGTTTTTCTGATCCAGTGTAATCCAGCAGGGTTAACTGCAGGCATCCTTGTTATATATTTAGTTTACATACACAGTTTTAAAAATCACAGATTTTGCTATTTTTGTCCTCATACTCATGACTGTAAATCCACTGATGAATTCTCCTTTTGATATGAGCGTAGTGCCTAAGGCACTTGACTGCTAACCAGAAGGCTGGCAGTTCAAACCCACCAGCCACTCAATGGAAGGAAGGTTGTGCAATTTCTTCCATAGTGATATGGCCTCGGAAACCAAAGGAGGGGTCGCTATGAGTTGGGTCCGACATAACAACAACAACAACATCCTTGATTAGGAGATCTTCCCCAAATTGTTATTGTTGTTGTTAGGTGTCATAGAGTTGGCTCCAACTCATAGCAACCTTAAGTTCCCACCATCCTCACAATCATTGCTACGTTTGAGTCTATTGTTGCAGCTACTGTGCCAATCTATCTCATCAAGATTTTTTTTTTTACTGCCCCTCTATTTTATCAAACATGATTTATTTCTCCAATAGTTGGGTCCCTCTGATGATGCATACAAAGTAAACAAAGTAAAAAGATGAAGTCTCATTACCTTTGCTGCTAAGAGTGTTCTGACTATACTTCCTCCAAAACGGCTTTGTTCATTCTTCTGGAAGTCTAGGGTATATTCAATATTCCTCACCAACACCATAATTCAGATGCATCATTTCTTCTTCAGCCTTTTTTATTGTCTAGCTTTCTCATGTATATGAGATTGAAAAATACTGTAGCTTGGGTCAGGCATACCTTAGTCATCAAAGTAAAATACTTGCTTTTCAAAATTTTAAAGAGGTCTTTGCCGCAGGTTTTCCCAACTGAATGCATTGTTTGAGTTCTTGACTGCTGCTTCCATGGGAATTTATTGTTGATACAAGTAAAATGAAATTCTTGACAACTTCAATTTCTTCACCATTTGTCATGATGTTATTTACGGGCCCAGTTGTAAGGAGTTTTGTTTTATTCATTGTTGTTATGTGCCGTCGAATTGGACCTGACTCATAGTGACCCCTTCTTGGGTTTCTGAGGTGGTATCACTACAGAAGTAGATTGCCCAACCTTCCCTCCAAGGAGTGGCTGGTGGGTTTGAACTGCCAGCCTTCTGGTTAGCAGTCAAGTGCACTAGGCACTATGCTACCAGAGCTCCTTGTTTTATTCATGTTCAGGTGTAATACATACTGAAGACCATTCTTTTACCTTCATTAGTAAATGATTCAAATCAGCTTCATTATCAGCAAGCAAGATTGTGTCATCTGCATATCACAGGTTGTAAACGAGTCAGTAGGAGCTAGTCCCCCTATGAATCCTCAAATAGTTATCTTTGTGGATACTATCTGATCTTTCTTTCTTCATGCCTCACCTTTACTGTAGTGACTTTTTAGCTTTTGACCCACAGTTCTTCTTTTGTTGTTAAGTACATCCATATATCTGTGAAGTTTGCTTTTGGAATTATTGACGGGGTAGAAGACATACTTATGTTAAATGATGTCATAATGAAATTGTCAATTTGGGCAATATTAAAGGAAGATTTCTGGTTCAACCAAAACACTAAGAAATAGTCTCAAACAGAAGGGATCCTATCATATTTTTCTCTGGTAGCAGCTCTGGTAGCATAGTGCCTAAGGCATTTGACTGCTAACCAGAAGGCTGGCGGTTCAAACCCCCCAGCCACTCCTTGGAAAGAAGATGGGGCAATCTACTTCCGTAGTGATACTGCCTTGGAAACCCAAGGAGGGGTCGCTGTGAGTTGGATCTGACTCCACTGCAGTGAGTTTGGTTTTGGTTTATGCTACTTTTCAACATTAGGAAGTCCAAAGTAAAATATGATAAAATTTGAAACTGACTTCTTCAGTTATTTCAATTCTTTACTGGCATAAGTAGGTCAAGGCTCTTTGACTCTCTCCTTCCCTCCCTCTTATTTAACTCTGAGAATGCAGTTTCAGAAGATATTACTGTTATAATGAAGACTATAATAAGCTTGTGTACGAAGATAAAATTGTTAAACATGAGAACTCCTTTCTGCTGACTTTTCATTTCTTCTGTAATTAATACATTCCGAAGAATGATTCTGTCTTCTCTACTCCCTCCTTCTTTCTTTTTCCTGATGTAGTCTAATGTCACCTTAGCCTTAGGCATGTCAGTCCAGGTCATGGAAGGATGAGGGCTCCCCTCCTCTACAGCAGCTCCAGGAAGTCACTGCAGGGATTGATTTAGGTGTCTGGGCCTATCTTCCTTTGAGCCCCTTCCAGTTATGTGCTATTCATTTAGTATCTTGGGTGGCATATCCTTTACTAAATATAGGCTGCAGATGACAGAAACTAATAAACAGATTTGACATTTCTGGGATAGAAATCTATCCCACTGGGTAAGCCTTAAATATTTAACAGAATGATTTGTTTTGTCAAATAGTGTGAAGTTGAACAATATTTACATGAAAAGGATTAATGGAGTAAACATAACTATTTAAATATTTGTGAGTAAGTGTGTGTGTATATACACATACACATGGAACTGTGGTGATGTAGTGGGTAAAGCATTTGACTGCTAAGTGAAAGTTGGTTGTTCAAATCCACCACCTGCTCTGCGGGAGGAAGATGAGTCAATGTACTTCCGTAAAGATTTATAGCTTTGGAAACCCAATAGCAGTCACTATGAATTGGGATCAACTCAAATGGCAGTGGGTTTGGTTTATATATATATATCATATGGATGATAGAATTGTAATGTTAAAATTTTTCATCCTGCAACTAGAAGTTCTTTTGATAGTTGAGAAAATAGGATTGATTCTGTATCTAAGAGATCAAAAAAATTACTTTTTAGAAATGATTCAAGAATTAAGCATAAAAATGTTATAAAGTAGAAAAAAGTTCGTCCTCCTACTCTAGAGAAAAACATTTGGTCATATATTTATTCTATAGGCCTCAAATTTCCTTTCAACACTCAAGTTGAAGCCTGTGATATAAACTATCCCAAATAAAGCTGACTTCCTTGGCAAACTCTTGAAGCAGCTATAGACAAAATGGCTTGCTTTAACATATATGGTCAGTTTGGAATATGATATTTAGTGGTAGAATGTTGCAATATGAGACTATCCATCATAAATCAGTAGCAACTTAGAACACAATTTAGAAAAAATACAATTAAATGTCTGAGCCAAAAATGAACAAATTACATAGCACTTGACTTCTAATATCTCAAAGGACACAATACTATCAGAAGAATGAACTCAAGATAAAAGCTGACAAGATGAAATAGCAAAGCTCATACCACTAGTAATTAAGCTGGGTGCAACAATCAGTTTTAGAACTTTGAACACTCCTTGAAATAAAAATGGGGACACCAATAACAAAATGACCAAGTACACATATCAAAAGGCAGTATAAACATGGCAATAAAAAAGGAATAAATAATAGATACTAAAAGCCTAATTAGAGTCCAAATACAATCTCTTCAGTAATACTTTTCCGAGAGGGGGAAAAAAAAAAGTCTTCTGTATTCCAATTCCTGAGATATTATCAGAACCGGACTAGATGCTGAAGATGGGGAGACAATGAGGTTTTATTCACTAAGACATTTATTCACATGAATCTATTATCATCCATTAAGTGGCTGTAGCTGAGGTTTGCATTGTCTTTGTTTCTTAATTAGGTTGTGACTCTGGCATTGTGACATATCACTTTGCTTCTTCCATATCAACCACTCTGGCTCCATGCCAGGTGGGGACAGCCATCAGACTATATAACAGATTAGAGAGAAATCCCTAAGTATGCCCTGCTGATAAAGTCTCTGAGGAAATGGCAAAGAGTGGGAAGCAAACTGTTTCTCACTAATCTTGTCAGTCAGACAGTGTGATCAGACATTCATTTGTTACAAAGATACACTCTTGTCCAGTTTTTACTTGAGTATCATAAAGTGTGTAGGTCCCTAGATGGTGCACGTGGTTTGCACTCGAGTACTAACAAAAACTGCAGCACCACAGTCAAGAAAGTCCTCATGATCTGCTTACTCTGTAATACACAGAGTTGCCATCAGTTGGAACTGACTCAATAACAATGAGTTTTACCATAAAGTGTAATAATAATTTAAATAGTCTAGTTTAAGAGACCTGTTTGTACTTTAAGAGTTCAATGATTTTTTAAAAAAAAATTCCAACA